GGTCTATGTACAGGTTCCTCATGAGTACAATTAAGTGTTCTGGAATTCCCATTCTTCTCAATGTTATCCACAATTTGTTATGATCCACATAATCAAATGCTTTTGCATAGTCAATAAAACACAAATAAACATCTTTCTGGTATTCTTTGCTTTCAGCCAAGATACATCTGATGACATCAGCAATAATATCCCTTGTTCCACGTCCTCTTCTGAATCCAGCCAGCACTTTTGGAAGTTCTCTGTCAATATACTGCTACATCCATTTTTGAATTATCTTCAGTAAGATTTTACTTGCATGCGATATTAATGATATGCTTGATAATTTCCACATTCTGTGGGATCACCTTTCTCTGGAATGGGTACAGATATGGATCTCTTCAAGTCAGTTGGCCAGGTAGCTGTCTTCCAAATCTCTTGGCATAACGAGTGAGTGCCTCCAGTGGGACATCTGTTTTTTGAAACATCTCCGTGGGTATTCTGTCAATTCCTGGAGCCTTGTTTTTCACCATTTTTTTCAGTGCAGCTTCAACTTCTTCCTTCAGTACTGTTGGTTCTTGAACGTATGCCACCTTCTGAAATGGATGAATATTGACCAGTTGTTTTTGGTACAGTGACTCTGTGTATTCCTTCCATCTTCTTTTGATGCTTCCTACATCATTCAATGTTTTGCCCTTAGAATCCTTCAATATTGCAACTCGAGGCTTACATTTTTCCTGCAGTTCTTTCAGCTTGAGAAATGCTGTACATGTTCTTCCCTTTTGGTTTTCTAACTCCAAGTCTTTGCACATTTCATTATAGTAATTGGGTTTGTCTACTTGAGCTGCTCTTTGAAATTTTCTGTTCCGCTCTTTTATCTTGTCATTTCTTCCATTGGCTTTAGCTACTGTCAGTTCAAGTGCAAGTTTCAGAGTCTCTTTTGACATCCATTTTAGTCTTTTCCTCCTTTCCTATCTTTTTAATGGCCTCTTGCTTTCTTCATGGATGATGCTTTTGATGTCATCCCAGAACTCTTCTGGTTTCCGGTCATTGGTGTTCAATGCATCAAATCTATTCTTTAGATGGTCTCTAATTCA